CCCCTTTACACTTTTGCCAGGTGTAGAAGCCTCAGTTCTCCACAAAGTGGGCTACAGTGAAGGCAAACCACACCAGAGCACCTGCCAACCTCCCACGCCCAAAGATGGACAAGCGCCTGATTCCACCACGTCGTGACACATATGATTAGAAAAGTCTGTTTTGTTTTAGTAGAGGTTTTGCGGCGCTCGCAACTGCATAAGGTCATATGAGCGCCAAAGGGTGGATGCCAACAGAGAAGTCCTTACAGGGAATCAGACTTACTCTGCTCACCTCTCTAGCTTCAACAGCACAAAGTCTTCTTCGACTATCAAGGCACCCCGGAAATACCGGGTCACAAGAGTGCGTCTGGGAGTGTGAAAGTCTCACCTTGGTCTGCTCGTCCGTGTAGCCGATGGAGTTCTGTATGTAGTCCAACTCCGCTGTGCTGATGCCCGGGTGACCGGCCGGACTCTCTGTGACCACAATGCACCACAACAGGAACCAGATAATGGCGATAGATCCTGCGGGGCAAGTCACAAGTATGTACTGTTGAAATATTTCTCTTGTAAAAGAGTACAATTATGAAAAGGAAAATTAATGTTTCAACAGTTTCCAGAAAAACTCCATCACAAAGCCAGTAAGTTGTATCTGCAAATATTCCCCTAGAATAAATTGTGCATATTTCAAGAACACAGACTGATCATCATCTCTACAAAAGTGACATTAAGATAAAACAACAAAAAAGTTTAGTTTTAATTTTAGTAAGTGTTTTACGGCACATGCAACACAAAAAGGTCATATAAGTGCCGAAGATTAGAGGTGTTACAAGAGAGTAACAAATACTTGCAACACAATACGATCATATAAATGCCAAGGATTAGAGGTGTTACAAGAGAGTAACAAACATAAAAAAGGAGGAGGAGAGATAAGACTAAGACAATAGATGTTTGATAGGAAAGAAGGAACAAACCACACCAGAGCACCCGCCAAACTCCCGCAGATGAACATATCCAAACAAAACAAAACTCACCAAACACGTAGAAAATGGACTGCCAGCCTGCAGCACTCTCTGCCAGGGCCCCGGACAACACCATAGAGACCACCGTGCCAAAGTACGAGCCTGGGAATTGTCACGGGTAGAAATGTCACGGGTAGAAATGTCACGCGATGAAACGTCACGCGATGAACACGTCTTTTCTTCCGTCATTTAATTAAAGTAACACACAATGAGTAGGTCTTTGATTTCTTGCACATGTTTAACACTCTTATCAACACCTTTTAAGTCATTTAACCCTATCCGTACATTGTGTTTTACCATTGGATCCATGCGACGTGGGGAATTCTGTGCCACCATTTTCCAAAGAGGAAATTTACTCTTTAATCACACTCAATGAGTAGGTCTTTGAGTTCTTACACATGTTTAACACTCTAATCAAAATCCTTTTAAGTCATTTAAAATCACCGAATAAGCAAGTCTTTGATGCATTACAAATAATAATAATCATAATCATCATCATCATCATCATAATAATAGGAATTTATATAGCATCTAATCCCACGATGGCTCTAATACACTCCAATATATATATATACTTTTAGGTTATTTAAAAACAACACAAAGAGCATTTGCTTCGTTGCAAATGTTTTATACTTCAAACTATACCTTTTAGACAGTTTAAAAATCACACAATAAGCAGATCTTTGATTCGTTGCAAATGTTTTATACTTCAAACTACATGTATACCTTTTTAGACCGTTTAAAAATCACACAATAAGCAGATCTTAGATTTGTTGCAAATGTTTTATACTTCAAACTATACCTTTTAGACAGTTTAAAAATCACACAATAAGCAGATCTTTGATTCGTTGCAAATGTTTTATACTTCAAACTATACCTTTTAAGACCGTTTAAAAATCACAGAATAAGCAGATCTTAGATTTGTTGCAAATGTTTTAGACTCTATATCTTCGCCTTTTAGATCAGTTAAGAAGCGGACTCGTTTTTGTTTCGTTTTGCAACAGATCGAGACTCACCAGAAAATCCAAACGTAGCCAGTTTGGTTCTCTCAGCTGGAGGCGCCCACTTGGACCAAATCGCGTGAATGGCAGGGTAGGTAACTCCCTATCAAGAAACATCACAACCTAACAGTCAAGGTCAAGGGCAAGAAAAAAACTGTCTAAAAGACCAATTTCTCTTTAAAAATTAAAGAAAAGGTTAAATTCTCATATGTGTACGAGTGGTTCTGAAAAATAGTAAACTGCATAAACTTACCTACGGTATGAATAACTTGAAAATAGTAAGCCGCACAGATTTACTGTAAATGAGTAACATTAGAAATACACGTAAAATACTTTCATTCGTTCTTTCTAACTTAAGACTCAAATGCTTCCTTTTGAATCCCATTCTGCATCACAAAAGATACCATACAAATTGTTTGCTTTGTTTTTTTGTTTTGTTTTTTTGTTTTGTTTTTGTTTGTTTCCTTTTGTTTGTTCATTTCCTTTCATGTTTTCCTTTCTTTTTATTTATTCGTTTCCTTTTATTTATATTCGTTTTCTTTCATGTATTCCTTTCCCTTTATTTATTCGTTTCCATTTATGTATTCCTTTCCTTTTATTTGTGAGGCGAGCTGACAAAATAAAATACTTCTCGCAATCCACAAATGGAGATATTGGCCAAAAATCGACATTAGGGTCAAATTTGCAGATTTTCTATTGATGCCATATTCTTTATGCATAACATTTTTTTTCTTATTTCATACTAATAAATTGTAAAAACTTCACCTACAAGCGTGATGTATCTATTTCCATACGGCTCAAATCCGAGAAATAACTCATTGTGTCAAGAAACTTCACATTTATTCGTTTCCTTTTATTTATTCGTTTATTCGTATCCTTTTATTTATTCGGTCCCTTTTATCTATTTATCCAAAGAGTACGCGGCCCACCTCAAACAAGCCCTCCAGGATGCGACAAGCGATGAGAACCTTGTAGCTCCACGTGGCAAACACAGGGGTCAGCAAGGTCAACAGCGCGGTCACCAGCACGCCCACGCCAAACAGGTACTTGCCGCCGTAGCGGTTGGACAGGAAACCTGGCGAAAAACATCGGCTGTTGTTGGTTCATTCCAATACACCCCGGTAAGTTTAGCTTTAGTAGAGTTTTTAACGGCGCTCGCAACTGCATAAGGTCATAAGAGCGCCTGAAGATTAGAGGTGTTACAAGAGAGTAACAAACATAAAAAAGAAGAAGGGGAGATAAGGACGATAGATGTCGGATAGGAAAAAAGAAGCAAACCACACCAGAGCACCTGCCAACCACCCACACTCAGGTAAACAGGTTAGGTTTAATATGAGAGGCAGCGTGGTGAAATCAAGCACTTTTTCTTCAAAGTAAAGAAAGTGAAGAAACTGGTATTTTCTCGCAGGTTTGGGAATTTTTATTGACTTTTTGTTTTTTAGCTCAACGCCTTTCATGTCTCGTTAAAGAACACATTTCTGTGTGGATTTTACTGAAAAACGTTGATTAAAGGCATAAAAATGAACATTTTGGCAGCAAATACTTGAGGTGTTACTAGAGAGTAAGATACAGCAAAAGAAGTAGGAGAAATAAGAACAATAGATGTTTTGTTTAAGTAAACATTTAACTGGACCTGCAACACAAATTTTCATAGGTCGTATAATGAGTGTCGAAGATTAGAGGTGTTACTAGAAAGGAACAAACACAAAAAAGAAGGAGGAGAGATAAAGACAATGGACTTTTGATAGGAAAGAAGGAGCGAGCAAACCTCACCAGAGCACCCACCAACCACTCACAAGAGCAGACTTACCTCCGGGTAACTGAGTGAAGATGTAACCGTAGAAAAAGCTGGCCAAGATATGACCCCTTAACCTCTGGTCCCAGTTGAACTCTGGCCCCGACACCTGTGAATGGGACAATCAGTTAGTTTGTTCGTTTGTTTTTTAGTTTAGTTTTAGTAGAGGTTTTACGGCACTCACAACTGAATAAGGTCATATGAGCGCCAGAAGACTAGAGCCGTTACAAGAGAGTAACAAACATAAAAAAGAAAAAGGGGAGATAAGGACGATAGATGTTTCATAGGAAAGAAGAAGCAAACCACACCAGAGCACCCGCCAACTACCCAAGAATTTCAGTCTAAACAGACTTAATAGTATAGTCGGTCAACACAAGACAAGACAAACTGAAATAAAGCACAAACAACTTACCGTGTGCAAAGTGCCGTTGATGTAGGTGCTGTGGTTGGTTGTCATGGCAACAATAGCAACGCTGAGGTTTACTCTCAAAGCATACAGATTGGCTGGATGAAAAGAAAAATAATTTTTTTAAATGTTTACAACATCAGAGCAAGATTGAGGTCTTGTGTACACATAAAGATAACGATAGCAATTTATGTTTCCTTAGCTTTTCCCTGAGAACTAATTTTCAAAGACCCATAATTAATGCTCGAAAACCAATATTCAAAGACCCATAAATGCTCGAAAACCAATTTTCAAAGACCTATAAATCCATACTGTACCAAAATACATATACAACGTATATTGCTTACAACTGATTTCTGTGGTGTAATGGCTCGAAAATCTCTTTGAAACTTTCAGTATTTCTCAAAAATCATTTTGACTGACTGCTAGCTATGCAAAGTGTACGGATCGGATTAACAAGTAAATTTCCTCTTTGGAAAGTGGTGGCACAGAGTTCCCCACGTCATATGGATACGATAGTAAAACACGATGTACGGATAGGGTTAAGTTGTGGCACAGAGTACCCCACGTGGTAAGGATACGATAGTAAAACACGACGTACGGATAGGGTTAAGTTGTGGCACAGAGTACCCCACGTGGTAAGGATACGATAGTAAAACACGACGTACGGATAGGGTTAAGTGGTGACACAGAGTTCCCCACATCGTATGGGTACAAAAGTAAAACACGACGTACGGATTGGGTTAAATGCCCCAAAATGAATCGTTACCTTAGAATTACACAGTTTTATCTTCTCAATACCTGGTTTGAGAAATTTGACGTAACAAATTTCGAGTTTCACAAAACACCAAGCTTTTATAGAATGCATTTCTTTGAGTATCTTGATAACGACACCGAATAATCGTTTTTTTAAAGGAGCAGATAGAGCATTCGGTAACTCAAAATGTTCAAAATGTCAGATAGAACTTTTTAATTCAAAAAGATAGAAGGTAGCATAATGACATTCCTTCGGAGACCCAATTCAGCCATAAAAGGCCTAACAAAGAGATACTGTCATTCTCAAAACGCTGCATGGATGAAATTACCCAAAATCTCAAGACACCTAAAATTTTCTGACAGCCTAAAATGTATGAATGAACCGACCCGACATCCAAACATGGAATCCAGACAAAAAAAATAATTTTAAATGTCATATATAGGGCCTACCTATAAAATATCAAATATGGCATAGATACAGAATTGCCAAAAAGTTAAAAGATGCATGAGAATCAAACACAGAATAAAAAGCAAAAACCAAAAAAAAGGATGAATCAGAGTCTAGAAAAACAAAACCAAATAAAACACAAAATTATTGTTTCTTACAAATATAAAGTGACAATGTAGTATACATCGAAGAAAAAAAGAAAAAGTACATCCCACTCACCTCATCCAAGAAATATTCATTCATTTTTTTTTTTTAACATATCGAAAGTTGAGGCGTACTGACAAAATGAGTTACTTCTTAAAATCATCAAAATTAAATAGAGACATCGGCCAAAAAATCAACATCGGGGTCAAATTTGTAGATTTTCAACTGATGCCATTCTCTTTTGGTTGAACATGTCTATAATCATTTCATACTTCATATTTTTATAAATTGTACAAACTCAACCTATAAATTGGAAGTATCTGCGAGTACATAGGGTTAAAATTCTACAATTTTAAGTACCTCATTTTGTCAGCACACCCCACAAATATTACAGCACATGTATAATGATCCAAGATTATGCAATAGACAGTCAAGAACAAACTAACTTACTATTTTAAAAAAGCTTTTAAATTACAGTGAAGTCCGCTTAAACAGAAATCTGGAGGGCCACAAGTTTTTTTTCCAGTTTAGCCGGATTTTGGTCTACAGAGGTTTTTAAAAATCTAAAAATAAGGAATTTATTTTCTTTCAGTTTACCGCTGTTTAAGTGTGAAAATTGTTCTGTTCAAGCAGAATCATCTGTAGTTTTAAATTTCCAAACAATAGATCTGGGTAATGTCCTCATTGAAATAAAGTAAAATTTTAATAAGAGCATGATTAATAAAGGGGGGGGGGAGTAAGATAAATGGAACCTGAATAAGTAGACCTAAAAATCCACTAGTTGTCTCTCAATTAAACATCGATATAAAGATTAGATCTATTTATCATTTTTATGACCCCTATTGATAGAGTAGAAAAACGAACGTCGATTCGGAAAACACAAACTGGGACGACTTAGAGCATTGACATCCAAGGGGAAACTACCGATACTGGTATTTTTTCTCATAAGTATTTTAACGGTTACGTCCCCTACTACCGATACAGCTATTTTTTCTCGTAAGTATTTTAACGGTTACGTCCCCTGATCCCTACCCCTCGTGTCATCCATGAGATATTAATTCTATTTTATTGGGTGCTGTGTTACTTTTGCTGAATACAAATCGAGCTTCATTTCAGACAGGCTGATATTGTTATGCCTAAATTCAATCAATTTTCAGCTTTGTGACGTGCTCTGAATGATGGAGGTGTGAGGGAACAGACAAACAAGACTCGTCATGTGGTCGCTTTTAACCCTAGAGCTGTACACCCTGGGGTCATTTTGTACCCCCGGGGTTGTATTCTTCATATTTTAGAATACTGCTAGAGCAAAGATCTCTTTGAAACTTTCAGCATTTCTCAAAAAATTATTTTGACAGACTGATAAGCAAAGCGTACGGATCGGATTAACGAGTAAATTTCCTCTTTGGAAAGTGGTGGCACAGGAGTTCCCCACATCATATGGATACCATAGTAAAACACGACGTATGAATAGGGTTAAGCAGGACAAGCGGGCTAACCCACTCAATCAATAAAGAAAACCCCCAGATTCCGGGGGTTTCCAGAAATCTTGACCTACACCAAAAGAGGGCATTTCCCAAACTACACGAGAAGTTAGGTTCATTTGTGTGTATATTTGTTTGGTTATAGAGCAAACTCTCCTTGTCTTTTAAGGAAACTGAACAAGGGGCAAAAACTTTACCTTCGGATTTCTCAAAACAGATTTTTTCGGGATAGCCTGCTGCTTGTCCTTAAAAGCGACTATATAGAGCCAGATCTGAAGCAGACATAGGCTATCATGGCTCACCTTCATTTCTTTGCTCAGATAGCTCTAAAAAAAAAAATTTATTAAAATTAAATATCAATTTCCTGTGTACCCCTACCACTCACCTGAACATTTCCAGGTAAATTGTACTAGCTGCATTATAGTTAGGTCAAGTGTCAGTGACACAGTGTTTAGATGCGTGGTCAGTAAGGTGTGTCCTTGAGCAAGACACGACAACCCTAGCTCAAAATACAGGGTGCTGCACAGTGGCGACCGACAATGACAATGAGAATGGCGAGCGTGGAAACTTCACTGTAAATTGCAAAGTTTTAACTTTTATAGTGACTAGGCAAATAATCATTGCTATTGCAAAAACTAACTTGTTAATTAAGCCATGTATTATTTAGACCTCAGACATAAAACTTATGCGAAAAAAATATTTTATAAATATTTGGGAAGTAACGAAACACTTTGAACATGTGAATATCAAGAAGCAAAAATAAAGGAAAAGAACTATTTTTTACGCAGAAAAGCTACACAAACACGAACAAACAATTACTTCTACAACATAAAATGCATTATATCAACTGACTTTACTAAAGATACTCCTAAGAGACTTTGTGGGCAATCTGTCAGAGACATAGAAATTAAGCTGTGAAATAATCAAGTTCTGAGTTTACAGTAAATAGCAATAGATCTATATATGGCTCATGTCTTAAAAGCATTTTCACAAATGACGAACCAAATAAATATCATTGATTCATTTCAAGCAGATATATAGATCTATATATATATATATATATATAGTTTGCTTTTTTTTTTTACAGAGAAATCATCAACAGCTCGGTGTAAGACTTCATCAAATGTGGGACATTGTGGAGAAATCAGGCGCTCGTCAAAATACTGAAATTGAAGAAACCGGCATTTTTCTGCTGGTTTGGCAATTTTTATCGAATTTTGTTTGGGAGGCTAAACACCTTTCATGCCCCTTAGAGAACACACATCTGTTTGAATTTTACTGAAAGACGTTGATTAAAAGCACACAAAAAAGGTACAATGAGGTTTGAGTGTATATGAATTAATACATAGAAAAGGGAAAAAAAATAAATGTAAGCAAAAAAATAATTTAAAAAAAAAAAATGTGGAACAAAAAAATGACACTTACAGTATGTAACACAGTCAATATGTGTTTTCCTACTAATATATATGAATAAAAGATACATTTTTTAAAAATAAATATAAAAATGAAAAAATAATAAAATAATAAAATAATGTGGAGCAAAATAATGACACTTAGAGTATGTTACACAGGCTGAGACATTGACACATAGAATAAAACCAAAGAGGTACGGTCTACGTAGACGGGGGGGGGCTACAGTGAGAGGGACAACATCATCGTCGCAGGCCACAACATCTATCAACGCGAGCGAGCGAGCCAACCCAGCGAAAGGCCGACAAGGTCAAGCAAGGCCATCTCAACAAAAGCCGAGGAAGGTCATGAATGCTATTAAGTAACAGAAAATTCGAAATCACGCGTCCTTCGAACTGTGCCTGCTGCGGTCCCCTATTTTGTTTCTTCTTTATCTTTGTAAGATATCCCTCAAACTGCAGAGACCGGCCCTGTCCAATCTGAGCAATCTGTGTTACTCTGTATCTCATTTCTCTCTGGACAAGACACCTTATCTCTTTTCTAATGACTGTCACAATGAAGTAAGATGTTCAGTCCTACATTGTAAATCCTCCGAATATTTGGAATTATAACGCTTGATAATGTACTGATATGTCTGCAAGGGGTGTGAAAGTATATAATAATATATTACAATTGTATTATATTATACTTATGCATTGATTTGTCTACATAGTGTACTTTATGTCGACTGCTCAGAGTAAGATTCTGTTACATGTATACCGTACATATATTTTTTCTAAATGGTGTACAGCAGAGCCTTATACTATGCAGTCAATATGTGTTTTCCTACTAATATATGAATGAAAGATTTTTTTTAAAATTTATAAATAAAAAACGAAACAAACAAAAATATACAAAAATAATGTGGAGCAAAATAATGACACTTACAGGCTCGGACGTTGAAACATAGAATAAAACAGAAGAGGTACGGTCTACGTAGACGGGAGGGACTACAGTGAGAGGAACAACATCATCATCGCCGCAGGCCACAACATCAATCAACGCGAGCGAGCGAGCCAACCCAGCGAAAGGCCGACAAGGTCAAGCAAGGTCATCTCACCAAAGCCGAGGAAGGTCATGAGTGCTATGACGTAGCGTTTCGGGGGAATGTACCAAGGTGTCTTGTCACGGTTGAAGGACTTTCCCGTTACGTCGGACGACTCATGGCTGAAGACTGGATCGGACCCGGACGGGACCTCATGGCTGTACAGCTCCGCGGTGGACGATGACGACAGGGGCTGCTGCTCGCTGGCAGACGCCATGCTGAAAGAAACGATGACATTAACTTTTTTATTTTAACTCATTAAATCCACGCCGCCATTCACTGGCAGACGAAATGCACATGGAAACAATGTTATACATTCCAATCTACCCTTTTTAGGTCATTTGAAATCACTGATTAAGCATTTCATACACTGCAAATGTTTTACATTCCTATCTACACCTTTTTTAGCTCATTTAAAATCACACGATTTACCCTATGTTTTACACTCTAATCAACATCTTTTAGGTCATTTGAAAATCACTGAATAAAAGAAGTCTTCAATTCTTTGCAATTGTTTTATTCTCTTATCAACACCTTTTAGGTCATTTGAAAATCACACAATAAGCAGGTATAAGGGATGACAACAGAGGCTGCTGTCACTGGCAGACGCCATGCTGAAAGAAACGATGACAATAACTTTAAATTACTATCTAACTCATTGACACTTTGCAGTCATTTGCCGCAATAACGCAGCGGTGAAAATGATCCATTCCGTTCACCTGACGCATTTCTGCGACAGGCCCAAGAAGTCTAGCTGTTGCTAGTCACTCTCCTGGCTGGGTGACCAGATGGGTTAGTTTGTACACATACGGATAACTTTAGAACGACAGATGTACGCCATTGGCTGATACTAATAGTAATAGTAAAAACCATCTTGTTTGACGTCATTGAGGGATTCCCACTTTGTTGTCGTTCACGGTGGCAACACGACTGCAAAGCACAATTGCAGTACTTTTTAAGCCGGTAGCCTACAGTGACGTAGTGGCAGAGCGGTTAGTGTGCTTGTCTCCAAAGCAGAAAGTCCAGGTTCGAGCCTCAGTTCGGCCACTGATTTTTTTTCCGCTCACAAAACCTCTAATGGGTACCTCACTTCGAGTTGTGAAGTAAAGGGAGGTCAAACAAGAAGGTTGTTACTATAAATATCGGCCAATGGCGTACATCTGTCGTTCTAAAATTATCCACAAGTAGTTTGTACTGCTTGCTGTGAGAGTGACTACAAAGTGTCAAACCTAAAGCCACCGTTCCCAGCGGCTGAAGTATCATCCCCAAATCAGCTGCTTGCACGGTATGTTAGTTTTAGTAGAGGTTTTACGGCGCTCACAACTGCATAAAAGGTCGTATGAGCGCCAGAAGATTAGAAGTATTTCAAGAGAGTAACAACCATAAAAAAGAAGAAGGGGAGATGTTTGATAGGAAAGAAGAAGCAAACCACACCAGAGCACCCGCCAACCACCCACTTGCACTGTATGCTTCCTGGGAAGCTGAGAATGTTTGTAAGTGTTCTAGGGTCTACCAGGGTAAGGGTAATAAGAATGCAGATTGTAAAGTGTATCTGTGTTTTGTATTTTTTGTTTCAGTACAGTAAGAGTTTAACGGCACTTGCAACACAATTAGGTTATACAAGTGCAAGAAAATTAGAAGTGTTACAAGAGAGTTATAACAACAACAAAAAAAAAGAAGGATCGATATGGACGATCGATGTTTGAGAGGAGGAAAGAAAGATCAAACCACACCTAAGCAGCCGCAAACCACCCACAAGTATGGGGCCGGCCTTCACCTGGATACAGAAACAAACAAGAAGACTTGCATAATATGAAGTTAAAAAAAAAAAAATCATACACAGCCGGACCCGCTCCAAGAGCTCAGCCACCTGTGTAATATATAGGACAATCACCTGTACGAACTGCCACTTCCCATTTCGACCGCGGCCCCTTCTGTTTTTTTGTTTTTTTTTGGGGGGGGGGGGTTAAACAATAAAATGTCACTGTGAAAAAACAGCTGCCAGTATCTAAGAAGGCCACTTTTATCCTCGACAAAAATGGGTGGACATCTTAAACAATTTCGAATAATAGTCTCAATAAAACCTGCTGAAAACAAGCCTTCATGAAATTATGCTTATTAAATTTTAAAACGTGTTTATTTTAGTTGAGGTTTTACAGTGCTCACAACTGCATAAGGTCATATGAGCGCCAGAAGATTCGAGGTGTTACAAGAGAGTAACAAACATAAAAAAGAAAAAGGGGAGATAAAGATTATAGATGTTTGATAGGAAACGAAGGAGCAAACCACACCAGAGCACCCGCCAGCTACCCACATTAAAAACCTGTTTTTAATATTTTAAAATGTGTTGTGGGAGAAAGTACACACACAATTTTATGTTGACGTCTCAAATGGTTGAAAGTGTAGAGTAGGAAAGACAGTACTTGCTTTACGAGCGGCCACCCCAACAAACACAATATATAAAGAAGGTGACAGCTAATCCTAACCATTATTACGCAAGCCTTAACCCTATCCATCTTTCTATTTACAGTGGTCGCCCAGCCCCTTACAGAAGTCCTCCCATAGTCATAGTATCTATATATATATAATATTATTATGTGACCTATATATGGTATGCAAATTTTTTTATTTTTTAAAAATTTATTTATAACTCAAAGTGATTGGCAAGCCTAGCTTTGCACCCCCCATACACACACACACACACATACAGGATCAAGATCTAGAATCTAGAGCTATGTATGTCCTATGTTATAGTCCTAAGACATTTTCCCATTTATTTTGACTCTTAAAAAATTAAATTGCGTGCTTTTCCCGATAATAGGTATTGTGATGATATCGCTCATCACCCGCATCGAATTGAAAAGGTATATTTACCCAGCCCTAGAAAATACAAATTTGCGGAAAAGGTGTGCTTAAGAATTTTGAAAAACGGGGAAAAAATCTTCGACCTATAGATCTAATAATAACAAATCTAAAGCTAGATCTAGATCTACTAACAATTCAAAATGCAACAGCTGCGGACATCTGCTGGAAGCTAATTTAAGTCCTATTCAATAGTCAACAACAGCAAAAATACCTGACTCTGACAAGAGATCTAAATCTAGATCAACAAGATGCGTGATTGCGTTATGCGGTGCAAGGTGGTGCGCTTTTGTTCATCACGAACACTTCAAATAATAAGACGCAGATGTACCTGTAAATCCAGATTCCCGTCAAGAACTTGCCCAAAATACACGCGCAGATTATAATTGCGTGCGGTGCGGTGCGGTGTGATGCGAACACAGGGCTTTGATGTCGCCGCCACTGAACTTGGGGAGGATATTTCCGATTTCCTGTGTGTGAAATCGTTTCTTATTGAGCTTCCTATTGGCTACTTGATTTGTCAGCCATCTGGAAATTCTATTTAGCTTACAGGAGGATTATAGGAGTTTCCTACTGAATTGGGGAGTTTGATAACCGTGTTTCGGTTTCATAAGAATAAGCGATGCGTGACAAAACGCTACCTTTAATTCAAAAGCGAGTCTATTGCAAAAGGTAATTCCCCTAAAATTATCATAATGCTTTAAATATATTCACCAAGCGACCAATCAGAACCGGCGTTACTAAAAGTAATTGATCCGACTCGTGACGTCACGTCCGACATTTTCCTACTTGGGCGAGCAAGAGTTGTTTTACTTCAGACAGAACCAGCAAGTTCGAGGCTGAGGACCTGAAGTACCTTTTGCTCGGTTTGGATTACACTGCAGAGATGGGGCTCGTTACAAATTGCGCTATTTTCTTAGGATTACTCCAGGTTAGTAATCATCATTGTTTTGTGTAGATAACATAGATTTATAGGTAACGGTTTCCTCGGCGGAGCCTTTCGTTGTCGAGACACCTCTTGTTTAGAGACCTCGTCGGTCGGTCGGTTTCTCGACTCGGCACTCGGTGTTGCTTTCCCAGCTCTCAACAGCGCTCGTTCACCTTGTGTGCCAGTCACCGACCTGGGAACGGCGGCTGGGCTCGGCTCTGCCTGTCGCATTGAAATGGAATGTCACTTTTAGACGAGTGGGTGACAATTTTGAAAACCTGGGCTGTTTCTTCGTCTTTCGTCTCGCATCCTCCCCGTAAATCCCATACAAACAAAAAAGGAAGACGGACCCTGAGCCTGAAGTAGATCTAGATATCTAGATCTAGATCTAGATCTAGATATCTAGAAGATCTAAATCAAAATTCAAATTCAGTGTCGATTTGTATCACTCAGTATCAGATTTTTATCTTCTTATCTTTGTCAGACAGTGTTGTTATTCGGCTGGCTCAGCCTCGGCAGTTATTTTTAGACCAGACAGACAGTCCTTCCCTGGGAACCTCAACCATCCAGACGAGGAAAGAAGAAACATTTTTGTTTTCTTTATATAAAGTAAAGTAATGGATCTAGATATCTAGATTTTTAGATCTAGAATAGATCAACTCTATGAAAAAAGCAAGCTTTCCGTAGCTCACCTGAATGGAATAGATAGAGGTTGACTAGACACACACCCC